ATGTATGTACAGATGGAAAGTCATCAACGCTATACAAAGATTGCTAAATCTGTGACGTTGTTGAATAGGTGCTAACTAGTGATGTGCGGGCCGGGCCTCAAAGCCTGCGAGCCCGCCAAGCCTGGCCCAAAAAGCCTGACCCGAGCCAAGCCTGGCAGTGGGCTCAAGGCCGGGCTCGGAGCGTAGTCAAGCCCAAGCCCGGCCCGAAAGCCCAGGCTTGGGTGCACTGGCTCTGTTACTATCCCCTGAGTTCAGAATAAGGTGAGAGAGATCCAATATGTACATACCAGACATGATATGGATATTCTAGACTCGACGGTTCCCGCCGAGCACGACTGTGCATCACCGTCTGGTGTCTGCCATAGGCGCGCGCACGTGGGCTTCATTGCAACTCGACTTATTCTGCAAGTGTACGTCTTCTGGAGGCTGAATTCAGTGAGCACATGCAGCAATAATCTACTACATCCAAACATGCTCCCTTTTCATAGCACCAGAATATCCATTGTACTGTGAGCAAGCCCGGGCTTAAGCCTGCGGCTTGGGCCGGGCTCGGGCTCGGCTCGGGCTCAGGGCTCGGCTTGACGTTGCCACAAGCCCAAGCCCGGGCTTTGAGCCCAAGCCGGGCCCGCACATCACTAGTGCTAACCCGGTAACTCCGGCCGTCAGTGTGGAAGTTGAACATCCACATGACATTGCATTGTGCGTTAACGCGGTGGATATTCGGGCCCGACTACCACCGGAACCGACTCAACGGCTGACAGCGACAGCGAAGGCACGCGTGACGTCACACCACAGTATTACCCCTGTCCTCCTCGTCACTGTACTCTGAGCTGTCACGTCTGCATACACAGTCTAGCCTCTGCCATTCGTCGGCATCCGCAGACCATTTTCCGCCTTAACAGCCCTCGCCAGATGGAGCGGGACTCGTTGGTGCGCTGGTATCCTCCACCAATCAGCCTACAACCAGACCGCACTGCAGGCGTACTCCATGAATGTGGCGAAGATGACCCGGCAAGAGATCTGCATGCTCGGTTGGCCTGGGGTGATCATCGGTCAAAACGCCGAGTTGAAAGCTCCTTGAGCCACTACGGCTCAGCCTGAGAAGAGAACGGTGGGCTGACGATCGCCAGCAGCAATAGCTCTCGAAGACAATGCTACGAAATCTGAGCCTGTGCGCCCTCCGCACTTCTAAACCACTGCAAACTCGCGTCGACTACACACACAATGCAGCCCTAAGACATAACTTTCCATTATCCCTGTTATACCATGTACGGCGAGCGGAGTTAAGCTCTTGAAGTAAACAGCAACAGACGGCATATAATCTGTCTACGTGTCCTTTCGACCAACGCTTGCGGGAGTTGGGAACGAAGGAGAGTCAAGTGAAGGAAATTCTGGGCGATGAGTGACGGCTCGCCGACGTCCAGTGCTCTCGTGTCCCTTGCATGTGCAGAATAGAACTTCCGTCGAGCTTTATGGCCCCGTCTCCAGCCCGAGCCATGAAGATCTATAGCTTGGGCAAGTCTCGCAGCCCTCATGGAAGCGGAATGACATGCGCATCAACTCCTACTGTTCTGCGATGCCAGCATGGGCCGGCGATCTGTACAGGTCGTGGCGCGCCTGGCACGAGAAAGCCAAGAGAGTCCGAGGGCCGAGGTCGCGACCTTGCTGTCAGACAGCTATGAGCCGCGTCCAATCGGAATTTTGCTCATGCGTTTCCATCTAAACACTTTGACCGATCCGCTGACGGACCGTGGGCAGAATTGAACAAGGTCGAGGGGCAGTGAATCCGGACATGCAGGAAGTCCGACTTGTGGCGGATGTGGAAATCCTGCATCAAGTGCGCTCCCAATCATTTTGACCTGGTTGCGGCACCACGGCTGCTGAGTCTACGGCATCGAGAACGTGGACAGCCCTTACCCCAGGTCGAGCGGTAGCTCAACAACATCCTGTATATCTTGTGGGTATCATCATATTTGCCTCGTGCGGCCATTGATGTACCTGTACCATGCCTGGAGTACACCCACGACGCTTCTCTGTGTGACCGACGCTCTCACAGTCTCCTACTACGCAGCTCTTAGGTGGAGTCGTCTTCGAGGTTCCACAGAGCCAGCATCCCTCCTTACCGATACCGCTGACCGCGCTGTCTCTGTCCCGTCCGACCTGTACCGACTTGTAAGTACGCTTCGACGGCTTTCGGCTTCTCAATGTGGGTAGCACTTCTGAGCACTCGTTGCAGTGAGAAGCTTGAAACTGACGGCTGAGTAGGAGTGTACATCATTGGCGCAGGATACGCTCATGCTCACTGGCGGGCGGACGCAGGCCCGCATTTGGTGACTGCATACGTCCCGTTATCTCTGTATCTCGCATGTGGAGTTAATGGCTGCGTACATTTCTCGAACACGGTATCGAACCCCGCGATGTAGCGCGACGACACTGTGGCGATCGTCCACTCGAAGTGTGTCACTTCATTTCGGATTGTTACCATGATTCACCCATCGCCTTAAAATCCGGAGGGTTATTCATATTGCCTGTTCAAATTAGATCGGGGCACATACTTATACTTTTATAGTGACGTAGAGATTGTCAGATACAGAAAAAAATACCGGGCACAATGCATCTCAGCCCCTGGTGTCTCTGTCTGGCACGCAGATACGATCTCGAATTCCAGTGCTCGGTGGCGAAACTATGAGATGGTAACTGGTGCTGCTGCGAGCGGGCTAACGACTATATCGTAGGAGTCGATGCAGCGCGACGGGTGCGCCAAGTTGAGAAAGGCGTGAGAGATAGCACGGGTCGGTGCGAAAGAGCGCCGACTTGCTTCGAAGGCTTAGTATGCTGGTAGTGCCTGACAATTGAGGTGGCATGAGAAAAAGAAAAGATGAAAGCGAGGGCTGCGATAATCCAATCGCATTGACTGTCCTCGCTGGTAGTTGGAATTGCCACGGACGAGCGTAGAGGGCGTGTAATCGCCAGATACAGAACCTCGGCTTGATGCATCTTTAACTGGTATTGCATGGTCGTCGAGGAGGATGATGCATTTTCGCCATTCACGCGTGCATATTGACGTGTTCGGCTCAGAGCGTCCTGCTTGCGCACACTGAGCACTAGAGCTCATACATACTTATGGTCGGATGACGCACCTTACAGCCATGCCTGCCGCATTTCCTTTCGCCCGTAACCCTCGATTGAACTCCAGCAGACGGAAATTGGCGAGTACTACGCAGATCCTGGATCCAGCAGAGGACGTGAGTCACGCAAAGAGCTGAGCTGGCGGTAAGTCGACAGACAAGAGCAGGGCTGGAGCTGAAGCCACCGCCAAGGAAGAGAAAACATGAGAGAAGAAGAAGACAGGAGAGAAGACGGGAGAGACAGTGGCAGGCACAGCGTGACGTGACTGATCACAGTCGCGAACAGTCACATTCCGTTGCTCCCCGTCGCCGCGGCCGTCACGCCTCCTTCCTCCTCCTCGTTCGGTACGTCCCAGCCCAGAACGCAGAGCGAAATAGCCAAAGATAAGTGATATGGAGCAGCTAGAGCTTGTGAACGTGCAGAATATATGCACAGGCGAAGCTGCAAAGCTATAGTTGCCCTGAAGGCGGGGACTATGCGTGACCCGGCGCAGCACAGAACTTGATGCGCCTTTGCTTGGGACGCCATACTCGATCTGTGACACTTGCCATCGATTTACAACCGTCGACATTCCCGGTGCGTGGCGGCGGTCAACGTGCATGTCAGAACTTGGGCGATTACATCATTGCCCTGTACGGACTAATGGGGATACGTCACATGACCCCCAATTATGTTATAGTAATATGGACTAGATTACTCATGCTTACTGTACACGCTTACATACAGGTATTACCATAGATCCCTTAGCAGTATCAGGAGTCCTGACTCTCATGTATATATACTGGCCTTATTGATGTGGACTAGCGTCAACACACCACGAGGGATACTAAGTGGATCTAAACAGAAGGCGGCGCCGACGAGGTCTGGCGACTAGTGTG